GTAAGTGCTTAACAGACTATACAACTTTCAAAACCAAATAGCTAACTGAGATTCTATTATGCGCAGAAACTGCTTCAAGAAATTTTTATCTATTAATTTATTTAATCCTCACAAAAACCCTATGAAGTAGGTATTACTATTATCTTCATTTTATAGAGAAAGAAACTGAGGCACAGACAAGTTGTAACATGCCCAAGGCAGCAAACCCAAGCAGCAAAACAGGGTGAAGGGTAAGGCAGTCTGACTTCAGGGCAACATGGTTAACTCTCTCATATGTTTCCTCCCTGACTTCATGTGCCGTATAGCAAATTATAAATAAGATCATATCTATGGCTAGTGAATTTCTACATGGTAAAGTTCTCTTGTGGTGTACATTCCCTCATCATTTACTAATGCTAAGCCCTGTGATAGAATCTGGCCATACCAAGTAAATGCTGGCTCCCAGTCTCAGGAGAATGGAAAAAAGGTACATGAACAATTAATTACAATACAGTGTAATCTGTGTTGTTAAAAACCAGACCAGGAAAGGTCACCTGTCCTCATGGCAGTTGGCTGAAATGGCATGGCTTCACTGTCAGACTAAACTAAAGATGACAAAAACATTTCAATACCCACCAGTTTAAAATGTGACCTATGACAGGCTTCCTGGTCACTTTGTGGATTGCTGATAAGCCAAATCACAAGCCATGTTGTTTTTTAAATGGTATCTTGAAATGCTAGTCATTAATTAAGGGTATTAAATATGAACAGACAATATCACTATGGGTGTGTGCATGCCATGTCTATAACACAGATACACTTGTGCTGGTGAAGATTGGGTAGGAAAGTTAATTCCTAAATTTCAAGGACACATCCAAGAATATTTGAGTGAAGAAAAATTTTAGGTAGCTTCTGTGAAAACAAGCCGAGATAGAAAAATTGGAACAAGGGACCTTAGGCAATTTGAATGCAGGTCAGTAATGATCACTATAATGAAATATAATGTGTAATTCTGCCGATAATCCTGATGACAGAGAAAAATAAAGGTGCAAACAAGAATCATTGCTGGCAATCATATCATATGATGCCAGGATCTTATCTACATATTTATTAGGTGGTCACGCTAAAGACATAAATGGAAAATACGAACACCAAATGAGTTAATCTGGCTTAACTGGTCTGTAGCACAGAATTAGGAACACTTGGGCGCCTGGGCGGCTCAGTGGGTTAAGCCTCTGCCTTCGGCTCAGGTCATGATCCCAGAGTCCTGGGATCAAGCCCCACATCAGGCTCTCCACTCAGCAGGGAGCCTGCTTCCCCCTCTCTCTATCTGCCTGCCTCCCTGCCTACTTGTGATCTCTATCAAATAAATAAATAAAATGTTTAAAAAAAAAAGAATTAGGGACACTTACTTTGAATAGTTTTATTAGGCAATCAGAAATAAACTGTCATAAAGAATGGTTTTATTGGTGGAGTAAATTTATGGAAAATGAAAGGGAGATACTCATGGGCATAAGTATTAACATCTTGTAGAGATTAAACTGACTTAACTCATATTTATTTATTTCAGTTATTTATTTAATATTGGCTCATTTAATATCAGTTATTTATTTAATATCAGTTATTTATTTAACTGACAAAAATTTTAACAAATGGAAATTCCATTCAATAAAAATGAAAATGTAAAATTAAAGGAAAACCTAAATCTGGAAATTCTTAACTCTAAAAGGCAAGTGATGCCTATTAAATAATACGCTAATAGCAATGATTTGGCTTTTAAAATTACATCCTTAACTAAGGACATCTTCCAAAATAAAGGCAAAGTTCATGAATAGTTGTAGACAAAAAAAAAATCTAGATTAACATGGAATAGTTAGGGGACTACAGGAGAAGAAAAGAGATGTACATCTCTGTAACATATGATACCTACTTTGCTACATTAAACATCTGAGTCCAATTTTTATGCAGAGTATGTATTTTTTTGTCTTTTCTTGTTGAACTTTTAAAAAAAGAGAAAAAAAAAGTATGCTATGGCTTAAAATTGTGTGTTTCTAGATTTTTGTATCATTACCACCATATGTTTAAAAAAAAAAAAAAAGGAAAGAGGATTCTATGCAATGTATTTTAGTTTTAAGATGCTGGTTAATGGAAATGTGCGTTTAAAATAGATTTAAAATACTCAATGATTGGGGCGCCTGGGTGGCTCAGTGGGTTAAGCCTCTGCCTTCGGCTCAGGTCATGGTCTCAGGGTCCTGGGATTGAGCCCCGCATTGGACTCTCTGCTCACCAGGAAGCCTGCTTCCCACTCTCTCTCTCTGCCTGCTGCTCTGCGCCTACTTGTGATCTTGTTCTCTGTGTCAAATAAATAAATAAAATCTTTGAAAAAAAAATACTCAATGATTTACCACTTGCCCACTATTTCAGCCAAAGCAGAAATATCTGGAAAATGTTAGATATATTTTAAAAAGCGTATCTGCTCTTCCTGTTTAATTAGGTCTTTGGAATTTTCCAACTACTGAGCTCAGAAATCCTGGAAGTACCCAATTTAAAAAAGAACTTATAGGATTTAGAAAGTACTATAAATGATTATTACCAATCTACAAAGTTGACTCAAATATTCCAGCACAAACCTATTTAAAAAGCTTAACGCAAATTTTATTAGAGAAATAAGGCTATCTGAAGTTGACTGCCTTAGAATAACTGCCATATATTTGAGTCTAGTGCTCCACCTGACTCGTTTAACACCATCTGCTAGACTTCAGTTCCACTGACACCTATACGGAAAGGAGGACAGTAAGATAATGCAAACTCTTAAGTTACACCCTTGTAAAGAGGAATAAGGAAAGTTCTTAGTTAACACTTCCTGAATACACTGATTTATTTCTCTTAGGGAAGGGCTTCTGAAAGCATCTTGGTTCCAAACAACTGGTTTTCATTCCAGGTTCCTATGACTCAGAATTATCTGTATTATACTGCCTTCCTAATAAAGGCAGAGATCATATCTGACCAATCCTCCAAAATGAGAGGTACCCTTTACACCAATTACAGTCTAGGAGACCAGAAACCTTAGGTCATGAAATAGAGAAAAATGAATGCAGGAAGTTGTTACCTTTTACAGAAAGGGTAAAAGATACGATACGGTAAGTGATCAAGAAGAGACAGAGACAACTGGACACCAGCAGACACCAGGAAGGAACTACTATTCCTAGGCTACGGAGACAAAAGGAAGAAGCACTGCTACAAGAGTCCCGGGCCAGAGTCACACAGTCACTGGAATTAATGACAGACTTATCCAGTGGGAACTGGAGTCACAAAAGAAATAGATTCTGCCAGCAATATAACTAGAGGCAAACAGAAGCAAAGAAATGTCCTGACTTTTCCCTTTCTTTAAATCCCCCATCAGTGTTTCCCATTGGGTTTCTCAAACCCCATGGAAGATGGCTGTCCCTGGAGCCTAGAAAAAGCAGCCTGCAGAATTAGCCCTCCTTCAGTACAGAAGCAAGTAGGAGAAGAGTGTAAAATGCACCTGAGGACAAGTAAGCCCAAGACCAGCACAGCCTTTCAATAAAGTTCATATTGTAAATGTGACGATCTCACAAATTCAGTCAACCCAGTTAATTTTTTGCTATTATACCAACTGGCTCTAAGATTTCAACAGAATATTCATACTTCTAGATCATCTTTCAGATTTTAAAATGAAAATTCCTAGAACATCAATATCTAGAAGTATAATTCTGCTAGGCAGGTCAAGAACTATGCAACTAGTTATACCCAGATATGCAAAAATGTTCAACTGAGGTGACAGGAAGTTTAGTAAAGTCTGTCTCAGTTTGCTTATATCCTAATTTGAAGTAATTTAAGAGATATATTTTCCAAGAAAAGCAAAATGGTCCCTGGAGAAATGAGGATGTCAGCCAACATTTAGTATATACTATTATAAATTATTCCTGAGTAAATGCCTCAAATGTGCTTCTACAAAGCCCCTTTAAAAGATGCTGGATTTTTAATTATATGTAACTAAACCCCTATCTTTTCACCCAATTCATAAAAGAAATCAGAGTGCTAATACAAATTCTTTGGTATAAGATAAATAATGACACTGTGATTAAAAATTATTAAAAGCCAACTCTACCATAAAAAAATCAACATACTCTTTCATGTACAAAAGAGGTACTGCTAACAATGGTGACTGTCACCAGCTCTAGACCGAAATTTACTTATACATTAAATCTAAACATTTCAAAAGGTCCCTGAAATCCCTCCTATTTTGCTAGAATTATTGCTATGTTTATTCAAAATGTACAGATAATATAAAGCATAATGCATTTTTTCCCAAAAATTTTTGATAAGTTCATTTAGTGAAAATATATGTATCAAATACAGGTTTTTTTAAAAAGGCTTAAAAACCTTCCAAATACTTAAGAAATCTTTATTTAGAAATACTAACTTGTCTTCATCAAATTGGCATTATCAACAAGTCAAATTAGTTGTTGAATACCATTAGTTTTACTTCATATACATTTAAAAATAAACATTCTGTACCCTGACTTATGATTTCCAAAGCAAATTCTAAAACTATATAACATATCTTAAATTTATTGTGCCATAAAGGACACTGAGTACATGGCCTGACTTAAGAAAGACAGGACATTCAGTATTACAGCAATACTGGCAACATCATGTTAAGTTTGATCAAACAGTTCTACTAAGTCCTTACTAGACCTCAAAGACTTTTCAGCAAACATATGTAGTTCTCTACAAATTTAGAAAACAGAAAAATAATAATTCCTTATTATGATTTTTAAAAGTAAAAAAGCTAATTTATTCTCTTTTTAATAAGATTACAAATAGCCAGTAAGTGCCATATCAGAATAAACTACCATAAAAAGACTGTAGCTGTTTTTAAAATAATGCCGTTTTCCTGCCATTTATCAAATATAATTAAATGCAGAAAACTACTACCTATTCATTGCTTTCTTTTTTTAAAACCAATACAAGTAGTTTTTTCTGCAAACACTTACCATCCACTCAGATATAATAACATCCACTTTTTCTACAGGAAGGCAAACTTCTTCAATCTTTCCTTTAATTAGTATAATAGTATCTTCCAGTTTATTTAGTCTGAAAATTATCATAATGAATTAAATTAGTATATTAGACTCAGAAAACTAGCCAAATTAGATAATTTCTTGGTAACTGTTCGGGTTATTTTGTATGTTCTAAGTTTGATTACTCCCTGAGCACTAGAATTAATTTTTGATCACTGCATAAATGTCCACAAATGTTTCTGATTAATATGGCAATACCCTGAACCAATATTGAAAACTTCAGCCTGAAAAGAAATCTGAATTTTATTAAGAATGTATGTCAATAAAGTTACTGTTTTGTTTTGTTTTGTTTCCAAAGGGAGGGGTAGAGAGACATACAGAGCAGGCAACAAGAGTATATTTTAAAGGCAAGATGTGTTTCACAGTGGAGAGAGAATTAAAAGCCAGAAACTCTTTATTTGAACTCTAGATCCTTTAGTAATTGTCAGCTAAGTGATCTTCATCAAATTATATCATAATTTTCTGAGCCTGTGTGCTCATGTGTAACAGAGAATGATGATGCCTGCCCTATCTACTTCACAGCCTATTATGAGGATCAAATATCTGTGAAAGCAGCACATACTTCCTCAGCACGTTATTTCCTCAAAATATTGTATGCTGCACAAAACCTGACTATCTACTACCGCCTTAAATTATTTAACCTTGTCCACTGACACTTATTAGGTATTTTTATATGCTTGGTCTAAAACTAGCACGTATTTTTCACCTTCCTTTTAAAATATGAAGTAGACAACGGAGTTGAGATAATTTCAAAAAGTTAAAAGCAAGCTGCTAAGTTTATATCTAGTTAAATAAATAAACTCTCAGTCCTCAGAGGATGTACATCTGAATTACAAAGGACTTTTTCTGCTAACAAAGGAGGATGTCTTTTCCCAACTTCACTGAAGTATCATTTACATAAAATTAAGTGCATTCATTTAAAGGGTAAATTTTGTTGACTTTTACAAGCGAGACATTTGAGTGATCAATATCATCATCAATATACAGAACATTTCTACCTCCTCGAATTCATTAGTACTCTTTCCCAGAAAATCCTCCGGTTCACAAGCAAACACTGACTTTCCTTCTTTCATTACATACTAGATTTTTATTTTGTAGTTTCTTATAAATGGAATGATAACAAATGTACGTTTTTGTGTGTGGTTTCTTTCAATAAGCATACTTTTTAGATTCATGTATACTTTTGTGTATATCTCTAGTGCATTCCTTATTGTTGCTTAGTATTCCCGTGTGGCTAAAACAATTTTGTTTATCCATACATCCATGGATGGAATTTCTGCCTGCTGCTCCCTCTGACTGCACTCTCTCTCTCGCAAATAAATAAAATCTTAAAAAATATATATGTTCAGGGGCGCCTGGGTGGCTCAGTGGGTTAAGCCGCTGCCTTCGGCTCAGGTCATGATCTCAGGGTCCTGGGATCGAGTCCCGCATTGGGCTCTCTGCTCGGCGGGGAGCCTGCTTCCCTTCCTCTCTCTCTGCCTGCCTCTCTGCCTACTTGTGATCTGTCTGTCAAATAAATAAATAAAATCTTTAAAAAAAAAAAAATATATATATATATATATGTTCATAGGGATACTGATCTGTAGTTTATTTTCTTGGAATACGTGTTTGACTTCAGGATCACTGTAATAGCCTTTTAAACTATGTTGTGAAGGGTTCTGTCAACCTCTAAGAGTTTAGTATTAATTCTTCATTAAATGTTATAAGAAATTTGCTATTTGAGCTTGCAGTTTAATTTATGGGAAGGATTGTAATTACCAACTCATTTTCTTTTTTTTTCCTTTTCTTTTCCTCCTCCTTCCTTCCTTTCCTTTCTTTCTTAAGATTTTATTTATTTATTTGAGATAGAGAGAGATAGTGAGAGATGAAGCCCAAGCAGGGGGAGAGGGAGAAGCAGGCTCCCTGCTGAGTAAGAAGCCTGATGCAGGACTTAATCCCAGGACCCTGGGATCATAATTGGAGCTGAAGGCAGACACTTAACGGACTGAGCCACCCAGGCGTCCCTCATCCTTTATTTCTTCAAGGGTTTTTTTTTTTCCCTGTTCCTTTATTTCTTTTCTTTCTGTGACCTCATTTTTTTCTATTGTAGATCTTCTGACTATGTTCTTTGTCTTAGCTATGCTTCTGTAGTGCTCTAAAGCGAGTATTGGCAAACCTTTTTGAAAATGGCCAGATTGTAAATATTTTAAACTTTGTGAGTCACTTGTGCTGCTTCCTTCTTGCTTGCTTCTTCCTTCTTAACAACCTAAGCCTGTGAACATACAAAAATGGGCACAGGCTAGAAGGCCATAATTTTACAGTCCTTGTTCTAAAGATTCAATTCAAAGACAAATTATGTGTAACACCCAGTGCTCTACATCAAAAACTAATGATGTACTATATGTTGGCTAATTGAACATAATTTTTTTTTAAAAAGGCAGATAAATAAATAAATAAATAATACATAAATAAGTACATAAAAAGACCGAGATTGTCAGACTGTATAAACATAAGACCCATCTGCTTTCTAGCTTCAAAAAAATCCAGTCTAAATACAAAAATGCCATAGATTAGAAGTAAAAGAATGGGGAAAGGTAATGGTATGAAGACACAAATAATTTATAAAGCTGAAATGAATATATAAATATCATATAAGCAAAACATTATAAAACTTTAGGAGTTCAGAAGGGTATTTCATAATGATAAAGAGATTAAATAGTCAAGAATATGTGATAATACTAAACCTATAGTTATCTAACAAAGGCTTCAGAATACATGAAGCAAAAACTGACAGAAATTAAAGGGGAAATAGACAAGTTTATAATCATGTCAGGAGATAATCAGTACTTTTCTGTCAATAATGGATAGAACAAGTAGATATAAAATGAATAGAAGTATAGAAGATCTAGTTGACACTTACATAACACTTTATCAAAAAATAGAATGATATTCTTTTTTTTTTTTTTTTAAGAGAAAGATCATAAGTAGGCAGAGAAGCAGGCAGAGAGAGAGGAGGAAGCAGGCTCCCCGTTGTGCAGAGAGCCCGATGCGGGGCTCAATCCCAGGACCCTGAGATCATGACCAGAGCTGAAGGCAGAGGCCTATCCCACTGAGCCACCCAGGAGCCCCAGAATGATATTCTTTTTAAGTGCACATAGAACATTCATCAACGTAGATTACATATAAGACAATAAAAAGAAGTCTCAATAAGTTGAAAAAAAATTTAAATCTTATAGACTGAGCTTCTTGGCTTACTAAAATTTAATTATAAATCAATAACAGAAAGATATCTGATAGATCCAAAATATTTGGCAGTTAAATAACACATTTCTAAATAACGCATGGTTCAAAGAAGAAATAACAAAAGAAAGACTATAGAAAATATTTTGAACTGCATTAAAAGCACAGTGTATCAAAATTTATGGGATGCAGCTAAAGCCATACTCAGGAGGAAATTTAGTTTTAAATGCTTATATTAGAAAAGAAGAAGTTTTTAAAACCCATGATCCTAATGTTTCATCTTAAGATATGGTAGAGAAAGAAAAGTGAAATATACCAAGAAAGAAAGTAAGTATCAGAGGTCAGTGCAATACAAAACAAAACAATAGAGAAAATTAATGAAAACAAAATATATTTAAAGAAGATAGCATTAATAAACCTCTAACTGGAATTATCAAGAAGAAAAAAGAAGATACAAATTATCAGTATTAGGATTGAAGAGGGGAACATCACTATAGATCATACAGACAAAGGATAATGAAGGAATACTACAAACACCTTTATGCCAATAAATAATAACAATTTAGGTAAAATGGAAAAATACTCTGAAAGTTCTCAAAATTGATTCTAGAAGAACTAGAAAATCTGAATATACCTAGATCTAATAAATTAAATGAGTTGGTGGGTGCTTGGGTGGCTCAGTCTGTTAATTGTTTACCTACGGCTCAGGTAGCAACAGGTTGCTTCTTAATAGCAACAACAGAGGCCAGAAGGTAATAGAATGATAATACCAATGAACTAGAGCAGAGGTGAGCAAACTTTTTATTAAATTGCCAAATAATAAATATTTTAGACTCCCAGGCCATATGGTTTCTGCTTGCAACTACTCAAGTGCTATTGTTGGATAAAAGCAGCAATAGACAATATGTAAACAAAAGGGCATGGCTATATCCTAACTTTATTTACAAAACATGTGACCGGTCCATGGCTGAAGTTTATGGACTTCCATACTAGAGCATTATGACACCAATCCAGAATTGCCACACAGATAAAATATCTCCAAGATAGAAGCAGAATATATTTTTGAACAAAACAACACCATTTTGATTTTGTTTGGCTATAGCCATAAGTACACAATGAAAAAAATGTTAAAGAATTAGTTCAGGAAGATGGAAAATGATCTGAAATACTGAAATATGAAGGAATAAGAAAAGAGGATGGACTTATGGGTGAGTAAATACAAAGGATCATGAACCACAGATTTTACCCAGGGTCAAGCTTTACAATTTCAAAAATATATGCAATTTAGAGGTTCTAATTAGGGAGAAGTCTGGGACATTAAGGGCAGCTGCTTTGGTCTTTCCTTCTCTATGTCAGGCATGTATTCTCACCCAGTGTAGACACGATCTCTAAGTAAGGAGGTCCTCTCCATGTACCAGATTGTTCCCTACTACATGAGTCTCTTGACTGCTAGTATCTTTGAAATTATTAATGAAGCTTACTACTGGGTAATATCTCTGGGTAATCAGATTTGTGTGAGTCTACTGGAAAATGAGTTAGCTCAGTGTGGTGCTAGCAGAACTCTCATACAGATCCATAAGTCACAAAGGTTCGGGGCACTTTTAAACCAGGAAAAGGAGGGAACTAAAAAAATAGAAAGATTAATCCTCAGATGGTTACCTAGGCATCTTTGGTATGAAATGGGAATACTCAGACTCAGAGAAATTGGCCATTGGCCTGGCAGGCATCAGTAGGCGGAAGGGAAGACAGTGAAAAGTTCTATTCTCTGGCTGTTATTAGCATGTCTGAGAAATA